CCACCTGTTCGTCGAAATATTTTCCAACAGGATTAATCTATTTGCGACAAACTTTGCGACGAATAAATGTGGTTGGAAATATATATTTCCGACGTTACTTGCCCATTGGAAATATTTTGTTATACTTTTTTCCGATGAGATATTATATATTTTCCACAAACTCTTTTGGTCGATAATGATAATTGCGACGAAATCTAGCCCTCACAAAAAATATATCATTGTGGGAAAAAGTATTTCCGACGACACTCATTCGTCGAAAATATGAATTCGCAAAAACAAGAAATCTTGATAAAAGAACTATTTTCGACAATCATATAAGTAATTACGACCACATGTACGGTCGGAAATAAATATGTAGGGTCGTTTTAAAAATCCATTTCCGATATAAATTTAAGTAATAGCTATGAAGTATGGGCGTTGGAAATACATTATTTCTGACGAAATGGTCGGAAATGAAGTATTTGCAATCAGCCTTTTAGCGACGACGTTCGATGGACTTTTGCCGTCGAAAAACGGTATTTCTGACGGCAAAAGGCTTTTTTCAATGACAAAATGCCCTCGCAAAAGGGATTCTCTTTTGTAGTGCTCCCTCTTCCTCTTCCACGATAGGAGCCACGACCACCACCTCTTGCTCCTTGTTGAACTCCAGAAGTTACTTGGAGAGCTTGTTCATCCACAACATGCCGACTTATTCTTTGTTCACGTAAGAGAAGACTGTTATGAAGCTCATCAATGGATAAAGCATCCAAGTCATGCGACTCCTCAATCTAGCAGACAACATAATCATATTTTGAAGTCATAGACCTCAAAATTTTCTCAATGATCACCACATCCTCCATTCTTTCTCCCTGAAGCCTCATCTTATTGGCTATAATGAGCGTCCTGCCAAAGTAGTTGTTGACAGTTTCCCCAGCCTTCATATGCTATTCAAACTCCTTTCGAAGTGCCTGCAATTGAGCACGCTTCACACGTGCTGTTCCTTGATACTTTTGCTTCAAGGAATCCCATATATCCTTCGTAGTGTCCTTCTTCAAAATCGTTTCAAGGATCGAACGATCAATGGCTTAGAACATATAGTTCTTGGCCTTCAAGTCTTTCAACTTCTGCTCCTCCAGTGCCTTCTTCTGCGAGTCACTAGAATCAGCTCCTTCTGCTACTGCAACGATTCCTGTCTCCACCAAGTGCCAATATTCCTTGGAACGCATAAAATTCTCCATAGGCATACTCCAGTGATCATAGTGCCCATCTAACCTTGGAATGGCAGGTTGTACAAAACTATTCTCAGACGTCATGTTCTTGTTCTCTCACACTGGTAACTGTGTTTGCAGGTTTGAGTCAGGCCCCGTGATGGAGCTTTGATACCAAATGTTAGAATTGAACTAGTTTATTGAAAAGCTTTGTGAATACAAAGTTTGACTGCACTAGTAAACTCGGTAGAGAATTCTTATTAGACTCAAACAACCAACTTGGCTATTAAATAGCCTTACATCAAACAGGAAATAAGATAACAACCCACGATTATACAGGTCCTAGAATCATGGTAAGTGACTAGATTAGAAACAGAAAAATAAACTTGTCCCTTAAGTATAGGAGGGTTATTAACACGTCTAGGAATAAACCCTAGAATAAAGGAATCCTAACAGCTAGAATATTAACAACTTCAACAGGTGGGTGACTTAATATTTCCCCGCTTTAATTATAAAAAGACTCAATTTTTTTAACTTAAATTAGTTTACTATGACTTGGCTACACAAAGTAAGCATTGTGTAGGGACAACATGGTCGTCTTTTAATTGAAAAAATAAAGAAGAGTCCATCTAATTAGTTCACAGGACGAACCTTCTCATTTGGAGTTTCTAGATTGATGTACTTTGATGTAATATGATGTACTTGTAACTTGTAAGATCCGTTCAAATTTATTGTCAAAATGAAAAGGTCACTGGAACTCACCAAATTTACTTGACATATGCCACGAATGTGATAACAAGAGGCCCTTTACACATTATAATACATCGATCTCATCTATATATTTCTAATAGATGTGTCAAGAAACCACTAAAATAACAACCATTTATGTGAGTACATAAATATCTGGAAAAGACTAATGGATGACTTAATGTTTCCCATTAGAAAAAGATTGAGATGACTTAATCTTCCCCTTAGAAAAAGACTCAGATTCTTTTACTTAAATTAGTTTGCTATTACTTGGCTACAAAAAGTAAGCATTGTGTGCTGAAAACATGGTCTTTTTTAAATTTATAAAAAAAAAAAAAAAAAACTGTCACCTTATTAGGTCACGGTAACAGTTTTCTCATTTCGAAATTTTAGATTCAATGTGCGGGAAAGGAGACGACCACATGTGCCTTTCTTTTTCATTGGTTGTTGAAGCACATTTACTAAGTAGGCTTCCCTTGTATAATAATTTATAATTTGACTTCCATTTTAAAGCTCTTCACTATAAAAAGGAAGCTTTGTTATGCATATTGCCTGCATTTTGAGTGATCGATCAAAGGAGGGCGATCGTGATAAACGCTCAAAACAGAGAAAGATCAAAGATGGGTTGGCTTTTAGCGGCTTACCTAAGCAGCTTGGTGGGGATGTGGTGAGTTATTCGTACCTAATATTTTGCTTAGACAAATTTATTCGCGTAGCGAAATTAAAATTGGAAATTGAAAAAAAAAAAAAAAAAAAAAACCTGAGCTAGTCACTTCTCATTTTCTAATTAGTTTTAGTTTACCGTTTTTCCATTTGAAAGTGTCATTATGTTTTTCTAATGCATTGAATTTGAAGGGTTTCTTTCTAAAATGTAAAGTTATCATGCGCTTTTGGTTAAGAAAATTAGATGGTTCATAGTAATAGTCCTAACTCTTATGTATGGTGTGTACTCGTAGTGTTTCTTGCTGCTGTGGGCTCTTCGGCTACTGCTGCATCGCTGTCGCAGGCTTCTGCCAATGAAGGCTTATCAATACGCAAGAAATAATTGCTTGGAGGAGTGGGATGTTGCTTTGGTTTTGCAACTTAAGTATGGCGCTGCCATGCATGCATATGTTGCTTTTGTTTGCAAAATGAAATCATATTCTATCTTACCTTCTCATTCCTCAGCTAATTTGGTTTCCTTTTCCTTTTCAATTTTTGGCATGTAATGAAAAGTATCTTATGATTATTTCTCAATGATATGTACTTGTAGTTTGAAGTATTCATAGTAATCTTTAGTTGTTATGATCACATGCTAAGTTCAAATTTCTTTCTTGTCAAAATGGGCCACCGAAACTCACCAAATTTACTTGATGTGCCACTGGTGTGATGAACAACAAAAATGTCCCTCTACGCAATACAACCGACTGTTTGTTTTTCAAATCTTTATCTATAGATTATCCTTACAATAAAAAGAAAAATATGAAAATTTGGAAGCCGTTAAGTTATTTTATTGTGACCCGTAATATATAGGAGCAAGGTGTCTCAAGAAAACAATAAAATGATGAAAAAACCATTTAATTGAGTAGTTATATGATTTTGGATTAGAGTGACCTTTAGTGATTATCTTTCAGGAGGTCTTCCTTCATTCATCAGTTCAATGAATATTATTTCTTGAGTTCGGATCTGTTGTCCCTAAATTTCATGTACACTCATGTTTCCTACCTGATTAATTTTGACACACGCCAAACACTTACTGAACTTTAACTTATGTGTTATAATTTGATAGCAGTAATATATAGAAGAACAATATCGCTCCTCTCCTCCTTTACAGGTCATCATTTGACATCGAAACAAAGGCAAATAATATGCATCAAGTTACTGGGTTGATTCTCTTGTAGATATGCAATAATCCAAAGCAACACAACCAGTCAAATAATAGGAGATCTGCTTTGCTGAAAATTTTCATAAAATTCCTTGATTTCTTGGAAAGTCCAGTAAATGTCACCCTCCGTCATACTGCCGTTAATCTTCTATGACCATTGACCACCACAGTTTCTGGCATCGATGCTCCGAGAGAATAGAAGAGGCCTAAGCTACTGCCCCCACGAAGAAAAGATATCCAGCCAAAAAGGAAAATATCAAAAAGTAAACTCCTCTAACTAGCAACAAATGCTGCAAAGTTTTGTTTTGTTTCACAGCTTATTTTCCTTAGGATTGGGAATTCTACACCATGGAAACAATTTAAAGTTAAAAATGGCAGAAGATTAAGTGCCTGTTTGGTATTCAATTTGAATCCAACTTTTTAAACTCAAAAATAGAATTTGAGTCCAAAACAAAGAAAACCTGTTTGGTAGCCCTATTTTTAAAAACTCAAACTCAAGAACAACTAAAAAAACACCCCAATTATTAAAAACAAAAAATATCTGTTTTTTCATTTTTTTTTTCTAACAACCCACAAGTTCTCAAATTTTTAAGATTTGAAAACAGTTTTCAAGTTGCATACCAACCAAGTTTTTGAATCTTAAAAATAGATTTAAGAACTCCTTGTTTTTAAGAAAAATCAAAGTTTTTGAGTTCCCTATTTGAATAGGATACCAAACTTTGTTGTAATGAAAACTGAAGAAAAATAATAATAAACATTGAGTTTCAAACTTCATTTTGTTGTAATGATACCGTGTTAGTTACATATTTAATTACTAGTTCGGTAGGTGACTTTATATAATTATGTTCCAGCTCTTGAATTATAAAAAGACTCAGATTTTTTAACTTAAATTAGTTTACTATGACTTGGCTGCACAAAGTAAGCATTGTGTGGGGAAAACATGGTCGTCTTAAAAAAGAAAAAAACAAGAGCTGTCCATCTTATTAGTTCACAGGATCAGCCTTCTCATTTGGAGTTTCTAGATTGAATGCTCAGCAAAGATGACGACCACATGTGCCTTTCTTTTTCATTGGTTCCCTTCTGTATTTTAATCAAATTGACTTCCATTTTTAAGCTCCAGTCAATAAATTTCGTATAGAATATTGAAGTTTTTCACTATAAAAAGGAAGCTTGCTGTTACGCCCATTGCATGCATTTTTTGAGTGTTTGATAAAGGAGGTGATCTGATCAAAGCTTAAAACAGAGAAGGATCAGAGATGGGTTGGCTTTTAACTGCTATCCTAAGCAGCTTGGTGGGGATGTGGTGAGTTATATATATTTGTATTTAATATTTTGCTTAGAGAAATAAAGAGCAGTCAATACTAATCTGAGTTCTTATGTGTGTGATTGTAGTGTTTCTTTCTGCTGTGGCCTCTGCGGCCTCTGCTGTGGCCTCTGCAACCCCGGTCGATAAATGATTTATCAATATGCAAGAAATAATAGCTTGGATGCGTGAGATTGATGTTTTCATGTTGCTTTGGTTTAGCAACTTACGTATGGTGCTTCCATGCGTTCTGTTTGCCAAATGCAATACTGATATTCTATCTTAACTTCCCATTCCTTAGCTAGTTTGGTTTTCTTTTAGGTTTGAATATGGCATGTAATGATGACAAAGCATCTTATGATGATTTCTCAATAATGTGTGCTTGTAATTTGATGTATTGGTATTAATCTTTGGTAGTTAAGTTGAAATTTCTTCCTTGTCAAAATGAATAGGTCAGTGGAACTCGTCAAATTTACTACATATATGTCACCGATGTGATAACAAGAAAAGTGCCCCTCTACGAAATACAAGCGATTTGGACCGTCTATTTTTCTAGTCCTCCACATATCCTTTTACCACAAACGTTGACAATTAGGAAGCCTATGATGTATTCTTACTTTAAATTCTCGCAGTGCTTTTTTTTTTTTCCTCTAATCAACAATTTTTTTTTTATAGATAAAGGAGATATGTTGCATTCATAATTTAGACACAAAGATCGGCAGCCACAAGAGCTGATGCAAATACACATAACCACAAAGGTTTAGTACAAATGTGGGGTTAGTTTAAATACGGCCACACATGGCCAAAGAAATTCCAGCATAAAAGCCATTAGCCTGGAAAACTAGGTAAATACTTCCACGCGCCAAACTAAATATGCAACTACAACCTTTAAACTCTCACAACTAGAAACTAGATTACAAACAAACACCGAACTCACGAAAAGTTGATACAATTATTACAACTCAGCAACTGCAAACACACATTTAAATAAAACCGCTCACTCACCTTGTCTGTCTAAATCACAAGTTGAAACGACCACAGAGATCTAAAGTAAATCTAACAGTAGCTCCAAATCTGCAAAAGGAAGACAGGCAAAACAACCAAGCGCAACCAACAAACTAGTCAAAATGGCAAAACAGCAACAACAAGTCAAAAGGGGAAGCAAGGGAATGAGAGGAGTAGAGGGAAGGGGGGAGGAGAGGGAAGCCACCCACTCCCCAAGTGGGGTGGCGGCTCAGGATGCTTTTACTAAGGCTTTCTCTCACTTTTTTATTTTTATTTTTATTTTATTTTTATTTTAAAGATCATTAGGTCCTTTTAATTTCTATAATCTTAGCAGCTCCTCTAAATCAACATTAATTAGCAAACGAAGTAAGTAACACTAGACTAACTACTATTTGGTTGCAATGGACATTCAATATTCCTACTAACAATAGGTTTGAATGAAGAAATTTAAAAGTACAATGGAATTCATAAATGGTGGAATTTAAAATAAAGAAAATTAATCGCTTCAGACGGTTTTTTGTATCCTTTGGCGGTTGCATTGCTGGATTTCAATATTGCATACCCTTGTTGTTCATTGATGCTACGTTTTTGAAGAGCAAGTACAAGGGGCAGCTTCTTTGTGCTTCCGGAAAGAATGGGAATCAAGGTATGGTTACTGTACTGTATTGGATTTTTGTGTAATCTGCATTACTGTTTTGTGTAATTTGTTGTTATTTTTGTGTATTCTGCAATGCAGTTTGTGTTTACTGTTTTGTGTAATTTGTTGTTGCTTATACTTGTGCTTTTGGTTTTGTTTTGCAGGGTTTTATCCTCTAGCTTTTGGAGTTGTTGATTCTGAGACAGAGGAGAATTGGACTTGGTTTCTTCAACATTTGGCTGCTATTTTGCTTCCGATGGGGAGAATGGTGACCTTTTTCTCGGACCGCAATCATGGTTTGTTAAATGCTATGGGGGCTGTGTTTCCTGGATGGCCTCATTCTTACTGCTACTATCACCTCAAACAGAATTTGATATCGAAGTACCCGAAGTCAGGTTATGGGAAACTGCTCCAAGACCATGTTGTCAATCTCTTTAGTAAATGCGCATATGCTGTTACGGAGGAAGAGTTTAAAGTAGCAATGGACGAGTTGGTGGTTGTTGGGATTTCGAAAGTGAAGACATTTATATCTGAATTGTCTAGAGATCACTACGCCAATGCTTTTTTCCAAGGAATGCGTTATGGAGAGATGGCAAATAGTTTAGCCGAGTCATTTAATAATTGGGTTGGCGTATTTCGTGATTTGCCGGTGCTACCTATGATAGAGGGGATTCGACAGAAATTAATGGTATTGAATTCTCAACGACGAATTGAAGCGGAAAAGTGGACAACAATTTTGTGTCCGGAGATGGAAACAAGACTGTGGGAAAATGCGGAGGCAGGTAGGACTTGGGCAGTTCGTCGTTCTAGTTGCACTGTTTTTGAAGTATTTGCTGACTATTCTGTGATGGTTGATCTTGGGCAAAGGAAATGTTCTTGCCGTCTTTGGCAAATTGATGGTTTTCCTTGTACGCATGCCGTGGCTGCAATTCTAGCAAAGAAAGATTCGGTTTACGATTATGTTGAGTGTTACTACAGTTCTGATTTCTTTCGAAAAGCCTATGAGAGTCCTATTTTTCCTATTCCAGATATTGGGAAAGGCTTGGGCAGCAACGGTTCAGCTGCTGGAGTTATGCTTCCGCCAATTACAAAGAGGCCAGCCGGAAGACCACCAACAAAGAGGATCAAAGCTTTTAGTGAAGGTACAAGGCCATTGAAATGCAGTCGGTGCAGTGTTGCTGGGCACAATGTTGTGTAGATTTCAGCTGCACCAAAATGGATTAAGCTGCATCCTCAACTTGTGATACTCGCAAGTGCACGAACCGTTGGTAGTTTAGCATATGTAAGTGCGAGGTCGATCCCACGAGGATTGGTGATTGAATGATTCAATTCATTTTCCCTACACAAAACAGAAATGAAAAAGAAGGGAAATAAATAAAACAAGGAAGAAAGAAAATAACTAACTCAAGCAGATAAGTTCCCAAGTTCAATTAGATTAACGGATTGATTCTAGCTAATGTATGATTAAGCCATGGTGTGTGGTCATAACCTTGTGTTCCTAATTCCCTAATTTGATCATTTGTTGTCTAACCTAAAATTAAGCATTAGGAACCCATTAAGCATAGAAGAACAATTTAAACAAC